AATCCTTGCTTTCTTTAGAGGATGGGAAGGGATTCCTATCTTTTATTCTTGAATGAAAGGAAAGAGGAATCCATTCTAATGCTTTGACTGATCTTGATCCATAACTTACTGGTAATTCGTTGTCATTGGTTTCAGCTGCTTCTAAGCCCTCATGATAATGAGGACTACCCTTGTATAAGAGCCTGGCATTTGAATGGGTTCATCTTTTGGGGAAGTACTAATTCAGTGTGCCCCTAAATAGGACAACTAGAAAATTCCATTCCTCTGCTACTACTAAGATCTAGGGGCATGGCTACACTTGCAAGTTAGGGAGCATTAAAGTAGCCCTGGGCGCCCTAATTCATGATGCGTCCACACTTGCAAGGCACATATAGCGCCTGGACTCCGCGGCTGTAGTGCTCCTGGTAATGCTCCTCAACGAGAAGCGTAACGCTTGATGCGCCCCGGCTGGAGCACTGCTGTGCCAGTGTGGACGCCCTGGTCTATTAATGCGCTCTCATTGGCCTCCAGAAGTGTCCCACAATGCCTGTTCTAGCCACTCTGGTCATCACTTTGAACTCTACTGCCCTGTCCTCAGGTGACCAACCGTCAGAGCCGCCCTTTAAATTCCCTGGGAATTTTGAAAATCCCCTTCCTGTTTGGTCAGCAAGGCGTGGAAGCGCTCAGCGAATCTTTCCAGGTGACCATGCCTCCATGCTCCAGATGATCTCCAGTATGGAGCAATGGCGAGGTGCTGGACCTCATCAGTGTTTGGGGGAGGAAGCTGTCCAATCCCACCTGCGCTGCAGCCGTAGGAATTACGATACCTTCGGGCAGATATCAAGGGACATGATGGAAAGGGGCCATGACCGGGACGCACTGCAGTGCAGGGTTAAAGTGACGGAGCTGCAGAATGCTTACCACAAAGCCCGTGAGGCAAACCACTGCTCTGATGCTGCCCCTGCGACCTGCTGTTTCTACAAAGAGCTGGACGCAATACTTGGGGGTGACCCCACCTCCACTCCGAAGACCACCATGGACACTTCAGAGCCCAGTTCAACAAGGCAGGAGGAGGAGGAGGAAAGCAGGAGTGAGGGTGCTGCGGAGGAGGGAGACAGCCTGGTATCCCTAGATGCATGCAACCAGGAGCTGTTTTCAAGCCAGAAGGAAGGTAGCCAGTCGCAGCGGACGGTGCTTGGGAAAGAACAAACACCAGAGGAGGTGCCTGGAAATTGGCTTTTATTTTGGGAAGGAAGTTGTTCGGTGCGGGCTCTTGGGGCGAGGAGGGTTAGGGCTGCATGCATGCCTAGAGGCGGAATAGGGCGTTGATGTGCTCTCTCTCACATTGTGGTAATCTGCCTCAGTGATCTCTTCAAAGGTCTCATGCAGAAGCTGGGCAATCCGCTTGTGCAGGTTCCTTGGCAGAGCTACTGTGCTCCTTGTCCCAGTAAGGCTAACATGTCCACACCGCTGTCTGTGAGGGGCGGGGGGACCATTGCTGCACACGGGCAAGCTGCATATGGGCCATGGCGGAAGCTGCATTGTAGTAGAAGACCCTCCCTTGCTTCCCAGGTCACCCTCAGCAGCAAGATATCTTCCAGGATGAACTCCTGTGGAAAATGTGGGGACAGTATTCAGTATAGGGGCCCCTTGCAGCTGTTGGCTCTCTCCAAGGCACAGAACCCCAGAGGACAGCACAGCCGTGAAACAGTCAGTCCCACTTGCCCATCTGCTTACTCACCATTTTGGGGCCCCTGTGGGTTATGTGCGCTTGCTTTGGGACGTGCAATTTCTGCTATTGTGTAGACTGTCTTTAAGTACCACCGAATCATTGCTCTGTCTGGTATGAACAATGCTGCCTCTGTTAAGTGTTGCATTTTGGCTTTACAGATGCAACCTTGAGATCTCAGCCGTCCGTGTTATCACTGTCCAAAAGACTCCAAAGAATTAGGAAGCGGCCACATAGAAGCAAAGAGGACATGCTGCATGACTAATGCAGCAGTCCCTTAATGAAAATCAAAAAGCACAGGAGTGGCGGGAGAGTGAAAGGAGGGTCCGCCAGCAGAATGTGGATTGCCGGCACCAAACCACAGAGCGGCTGCTAAGCATTATGGAGTGCCAAGCAGACGCTCTACAGGCGAAGCACTTCCATGCTTCTCCCCTCCCCCACTGCAGCCCTTGTCCCAAAACTCTTTCCCTTGTGCCCCCATGTCACCTCCAATCCACTTTCCCCAACATCCAGGTTCTTATCGCCACCAGCTGCATCCAACACCTGTAGCTTCACCACCCAGCCCTGCAAACTACGACCCTTACCCACTGCACTCAACCCCCATCTCATGCATTTAGCCAGCCAGAAGTGCAGCACTCGTTGCAGGAAGGCTGAGTATGATAACAGGACATATGCAAATCTGTGATTGTACTGTTCCCCACCCAACCGCACCCCCTTGCCCTTTCTGTTTCCCAAGCGTTTGTTTCTTTTTAATAAATGGATTTTTTGGCTTTGAAAACATTCTTTATTATTGCATTAAGTAAAAGATACCTTAGCCCAGGAAAACAACAGGCACTGCAAGTCAGTGTAGCAAACAGATTTCTTCTAACATTGGAACCATTGCACTTCACTCCCATGCAGGGCAGCAAACATTACTGGTGGCTTTCAGCCTCAGATTACTCCTTCAAGGCATTTCTAATCCTTGCAGCCACGTGCTGGGACCCTCTAATTGCCCTGCTCTCTGACTGTTCAAATCCAGCCTCCAGATTTGGTACCTCTGAGGTCCATGCCTGAGTGAATCTTTCCACCCTTCCCTTAATAAATGTTATGGAGGGTACAGCATGCAGATATAACCTTGCGGATGTTGTCATCAGCCAGGTCTAGCTTCCCATACAGACAGCACCAGCGGCCCTTTAAATGGCCAAAAGCGCACTCCACAGTCATTCTGCACCGACTCAGCCTGTTGAACCGCTCGTTGCTGCTGTCAAGGCTTCCTGTGTAGGGTTTCGTGAGTCACGGCATTAAAGGGTAAGTGGGGTCTCCAAGGATCACAATGGGTATTTTGACTTTTTCTATGGTGATCTTCTGATCTGGGAAGAAAGTCCTGGCTTGCAGCTTTCTGAACAGGCCTGTGTTCCGAAAGATGCATGTATCATGGACCTTTCCAGACCAGCCTGCGTTAATGTCAATGAAACGCCCACGGTGATCCACAAGCGCCTGGAGAACCATAGAGAGATACCCCTTCCAATTAACGTACTCAGAGGCTAGGTGGTCCGGTGCCAGAATGTGCGTGCCATCTATTGCCTCTCTGCAGTTAGGAAAACCCATTTGTGCAAAGCCAGCCACAATATTGTGCATGTTACCCAGAGTCATGGTTCTTCTGAGCAGGATGCGATTAATGGCCCTGCAAACTTGCATCAACACGATTCCAACGGTCGACTTTCCCACTCCAAACTAGTTTGTGACTGATCAGTAGCTGTCTGGAGTTGCCAGCTTCTAGATTGCAATAGCCACCAGCTTCTCCGCCAGTAGGGCAGCTCTCAATCTCGTGTCCTTCCGCCGCAGGGTGGGGGCGAGCTCAGCGCACCGTCCCATGAAAGTAGCTTTTCTCATCTGAAAGTTCTGCAGCCACTGCTCATCATCCCAGACTTGCATGACGATGTGATCCCACTACTCAGTGTTTGTTTCCCGAGCCCAAAAGCGGCGATCCACTGCGGTGAATGTCCATGAATGCTACAAGCCATCTCGTGTCATGTGCATTATGCAAGTCGACATCATCACTGGACTCCTCACTGTCAGTTTGTAGCTTAAGAAGTAACTCGACTGCCATTTGTAACGTGCTGGCGAGACCCATCAGCATATTCCTCAGCAGTTCGGGCTCCATTCCCGCAGACTGAAAGGGAAGACAGAGCGCACAGTACAAAAAATTTTGAAAGATGGCACCAAATGTGGACGGAAGCACAGGGATTGCTGGAATGCGAAGCGATGCATCACGGGGCATTGGGACAGGACCCAAAATGCCCCTCACCCCCCACACTCTTCCCACAAGGCCCAGCCACAGAATGGGAAGAGGTGCTCTGTGGGTTAGCTGTCCATAATGCACCGCTCCCAGTGCTGCTGCAAATGTGGCCATGCCAGTGTGCTTGCAGCTGCCAGTGTGAACACACTGCAGTGCTTTCCCTACTATGCTCTCTGAGGGCGGGTTTAACTCACAGCACTCTACATCTGCAACTGTACCCATGCCCTTGCATTATGAAACTGAAATTATTTAAAAAAAATTACTTTTCCCATTAACATTTTCATTTAGTTTGAATAATGAAAAAGGATTCATATTCCACTTCCTTTTTCTGAGCGCTAGCAGGATGTTGTGAACACTGCTAGGAAGTGTTCAAGACCCTGATCCCATAAAGATTTAGGCTCGTGCTTACCTTTAAGACCCATAAGTAATCTCACTGCAGTCAATGGGAGTGCTTGTATGTTAAGTATGTCCTTAGGTCTTTGCTGGATTGGAACCCGTATTAAATAACTCTATTTAAAAACTGATCAGTCTCAAGAGTAGAATTTGATCATGGAGCTAATATGGTTTTGCTACTATCCAAACTGATTTCAGTTGTGCTTGCTGCAAGCATGTCTGACCCCGGTTTTAAGTAAGGTTTTTAAACACTGTTCTTTTGGCCAGTGAAAATGGGGCCTGAAAGGATTTCTTCCCCTAAAAAGGGGTTACAATAGGCAAAATATTTCTTGGGGCATAAAAATCTTCAGAAGTTAACTAGAGTCTGCTGGATTTGTTGCTGTAATCCACACTAGGAGGATGGGTCTTTGTAATCCCATTAGTAGCTGATCCACTGATTCATGCGAGCAGTCATTTAGCTTATGTGGTAGAAACTCACCGCTTTAGTTCTGAAGGTCTTGGATTCAAATCCTACAGTAAACCCAAGTGGAGTCGTTACACTGTGACTCAGTATGGCTGGCTGAAGCAAACACTAAGAATGTATGTATTGCTGCTGATGGAAGCTTTTTTCTTCTTTTACAGGTTTTTATTTCTGTAAACTGCCTCAGCACAGATTTCTCCTCTCAGAAAGGAGTTAAAGGGCTGCCCTTGAACATTCAAATTGACACCTACAGCTACAATAACAGGAGTAACAAACCCATCCACAGGGCCTACTGCCAGATTAAAGTCTTCTGTGACAAGGTAAGTTCAGGCCAGTTTGCAAATGAGGGCTTGGGGAAGGCTGTCCCTCCAGCTCTGTTTAGTGTAAATGACCTTTTCCTTTATGATTCTAACACATGCTATTTTAGATAATCTCTGAAAACTCCGTATGTGTTTGACGTTTGTAAGGGGGAAAAAACTGGTTCAGAGATGCTGAAGTGACCTCAGACAAATTTGCTGCCTTCAGAATGCTGGAGTGTTGCAAAACATTTTTAGGCACAATCAGTGTTGACTTTGGGAATGGTCATTGGGAGATGATACTGAATGTCACAGTTGCCAACGGCAAATAACTCTATATATTTGGTTTTCAGTTCAAACTTGAAATTCTGTTTTTTGTTCCCTGCCTCAAGTCTATTTTTTACCAAAATCGCTAAATATGGAATTTTCTATTTCTTTGTGTGCTTTCTTAGTGTGCTCATTATAAAAATATCTGAGAACCTCACCAGTAATGTGTGTGGTTTTCCTACTGCCCTGGTGAGATAGGGAAGTATCACTAATACCATTTTATAGTTGGGGAAACTGAGGCCAAAATTTTCAAGTCTCCACTAGTTTTGAATGCCTCAGTTATGAGCGCTCTGCTTGGCGCTTATGGTTTGGTTTTTCTCCACAGGTGTAGAGCACCTAAAGCTGTGAGTGCAGCATTGTAGGAGGTGGAAGTTTTAAAAACTTGACCACATTTTCACAAATGACAATTTTTCATGGCTTACAACTCATCCAAATCTGGGCAGACTTTCCCAGGAACAGCAAAAAGCACACCTATGAGCCCAGGGCTTCTTCCAACCAAATTCTGAACTCTCAACCCCAAAGTGCAGGCTACCATTAAAAATTGCCTAACACTGCATGTTTAATCTTAATATTTCTGTCACTATCACTCCAGTTATAATGCATGGATGGACACTTACCCAGCCTTATTCTGCCCCATCACAGGGGCTATACTGTAAGCAGGGCCAGAATAGTGTCTTTGGCACTTGTGAAAATTTTCTCCGAAGTGACTTGACTCCCAAATCCCACAGACTTTTTCCTAAACACATAAGTTATTTGAAAATGGGGAATTAGGCACTTATGAAAATTTTACCTTTAGTTCTTCCTGAGGGTTTCTTTTGCTCACTATTTACTCAATAATTTTTAAAAAATAGGTTTGTCTCTTTGAGCTCTTCTGATGAAAAGTGGTATATAAAAGGTCTTCACAATTTAATGTATTTATCCCTCCGCAACACCCCTGTGACGAAATGAAGTGCTATTATCCTCATTTTGCTCCGCACACTAAGCCGGGGACTGCGGGACCTGGTTTTGTGACTCAGGTCTGTCGTTTGGCCTGTTTCCAAACTGAACAGGGCTTGGACCAGAGTGACAGCAGGACTTGGGCTCTGACCAACCCCCATAGCAGGTCCTGAGTGCTTGTGGACTCAAGTCCAAACTATTTTATGTGTAAATGGAAGGGAGTGTTTGGCTCAAACCTGAGTCAGAGCCTGGGCTTAGTGTGCAGTATAGATATACCTAGGGAGGCTAAGTGACACAAACTAAGAGTCTGTGGTGGAGAAGAGAATTGAACCCAGACTATGTCTGTGAGGGGAGGGCTCCTGCCTCACACTGGGAATGAGGGGCAATCAGCAGGTTATCTCAAGTGCTTATATACAAATGCACAAAGCCTTGGAAACAAGCAGGGAGAACTGGAGGTCCTGGTGATGTCAAAGAACTATGACGTGATCGGAATAACAGAGACTTGGTGGGATAACTCACATGACTGGAGTACTGTCATGGATGGTTATAAACTGTTCAGGAAGGACAGGCAGGGCAGAAAAGGTGGGGGAGTAGCACTGTATGTAAGGGAGCAGTATGACTGCTCAGAGCTCCGGTACGAAACTGCAGAAAAACCTGAGTGTCTCTGGATTAAGTTTAGAAGTGTGTGCAACAAGAGTGATGTAGTGGTGGGAGTCTGCTATAGACCACCGGACCAGGGGGATGAGGTAGATGAGGCTTTCTTCCGGCAGCTCACGGAAGCTACTGGATCGCATGCCCTGATTCTCATGGGTGACTTTAATTTTCCTGATATCTGCTGGGAGAGCAATACAGCGGTGCATAGACAATCCAGGAAGTTTTTGGAAAGCGTAGGGGACAATTTCCTGGCGCAAGTGCTAGAGGAGCCAACTAGGGGGGCGCTTTTCTTGACCTGCTGCTCACAAACCGGGTAGAATTAGTGGGGGAAGCAAAAGTGGATGGGAATCTGGGAGGCAGTGACCATGAGTTGGTTGAGTTCAGGATCCTGACACAGGGAAGAAAGGTAAGCAGCACGATACGGACCCTGGACTTCAGGAAAGCAGACTTCGACTCCCTCAGGGAACGGATGGCCAGGATCCCCTGGGGGACTAACTTGAAGGGGAAAGGAGTCCAGGAGAGCTGGCTGTATTTCAAGGAATCCCTGTTGAGGTTACAGGGACAAACCATCCCGATGAGTCGAAAGAATAGTAAATATGGCAGGCGACCAGCTTGGCTTAATGGTGAAATCTTAGCGGATCTTAAACATAAAAAAGAAGCTTACAAGAAGTGGAAGGTTGGACATATGACCAGGGAAGAGTATAAAAATATTGCTCGGGCATGTAGGACTGTTATCAGGAGGGCCAAATCGCACCTGGAGCTGCAGCTAGCCAGAGATGTCAAGAGTAACAAGAAGGGTTTCTTCAGGTATGTTGGCAACAAGAAGAAAGCCAAGGAATGTGTGGGCCCCTTACTGAATGAGGGAGGCAAACTAGTGACAGAGGATGTGGAAAAAGCTAATGTACTCAATGCTTTTTTTGCCTCTGTTTTCACTAACAAGGTCAGCTCCCAGACTGCTACGCTGGGCATCACAAAATGGGGAAGAGATGGACAGCCCTCTGTGGAGATAGAGGTGGTTAGGGACTATTTAGAAAAGCTGGACGTGCACAAGTCCATGGGGCCGGATGAGTTGCATCCGAGAGTGCTGAAGGAACTGGCGACTGTGATTGCAGAGCCATTGGCCATTATCTTTGAAAACTCGTGGCGAACCGGGGAAGTCCCGGATGACTGGAAAAAGGCTAATGTAGTGCCAATCTTTAAAAAAGGGAAGAAGGAGGATCCTGGGAACTACAGGCCAGTCAGCCTCACTTCAGTCCCTGGAAAAATCATGGAGCAGGTCCTCAAAGAATCAATCCTGAAGCACTTGCATGAGAGGAAAGTGATCAGGAACAGTCAGCATGGATTCACCAAGGGAAGGTCATGTCTGACTAATCTAATCGCCTTCTATGATGAGATTACTGGTTCTCTGGATGAAGGGAAAGCAGTGGATGTATTGTTTCTTGACTTTAGCAAAGCTTTTGACACAGTCTCCCACAGTATTCTTGTCAGCAAGTTAAGGAAGTATGGGCTGGATGAATGCACTACAAGGTGGGTAGAAAGCTGGCTAGATTGTCGGGCTCAACGGGTAGTTATCAATGGCTCCATGTCTAGTTGGCAGCCGGTATCAAGTGGAGTGCCCCAAGGGTCGGTCCTGGGGCCGGTTTTGTTCAATATCTTCATAAATGATCTGGAGGATGGTGTGGATTGCACTCTCAGCAAATTTGCGGATGATACTAAACTGGGAGGAGTGGTAGATACGCTGGAGGGCAGGGATAGGATACAGAAGGACCTAGACAAATTGGAGGATTGGGCCAAAAGAAATCTGATGAGGTTCAATAAGGATAAGTGCAGGGTCCTGCACTTAGGACGGAAGAACCCAATGCACAGCTACAGAGTAGGGACCGAATGGCTAGGCAGCAGTTCTGCGGAAAAGGACCTAGGGGTGACAGTGGACGAGAAGCTGGATATGAGTCAGCAGTGTGCCCTTGTTGCCAAGAAGGGCAATGGCATTTTGGGATGTATAAGTAGGGGCATAGCGAGCAGATCGAGGGACGTGATCGTTCCCCTCTATTCGACATTGGTGAGGCCTCATCTGGAGTACTGTGTCCAGTTTTGGGCCCCACACTTCAAGAAGGATGTGGATAAATTGGAGAGAGTCCAGCGAAGGGCAACAAAAATGATTAGGGGTCTGGAACACATGAGTTATGAGGAGAGGCTGAGGGAGCTGGGATTGTTTAGCCTGCAGAAGAGAAGAATGAGGGGGGATTTGATAGCTGCTTTCAACTACCTGAAAGGGGGTTCCAAAGAGGATGGCTCTAGACTGTTCTCAGTGGTAGCAGATGACAGAACGAGGAGTAATGGTCTCAAGCTGCACTGGGGGAGGTTTAGATTGGATATTAGGAAAAACTTTTTCACTAAGAGGGTGGTGAAACACTGGAATGCGTTACCTAGGGAGGTGGTAGAATCTCCTTCCTTAGAGGTTTTTAAGGTCAGGCTTGACAAAGCCCTGGCTGGGATGATTTAACTGGGAATTGGTCCTGCTTCGAGCAGGGGGTTGGACTAGATGACCTTCTGGGGTCCCTTCCAACCCTTATATTCTATGATTCTATGATTCTATAGTGCCCTAACCCCTGAACTACCTTTCCTCAGTCAGTTACAAGCTAAAATAACAGACTTCCAAACTCCCTCGCTTTTAATAAACCAGTTGTTAATTTGGCAAATCCACACTCCGCTCATTGCTTCAGAGGAAAATGTTTTAGTCTGCATCATAAATTTCAGCAGATCTAGTTAGTTACCCCGTTTATATAATTTTTCACTTTAGATTTTGTCTTCTCTCTTTGCATGACTCCTCCCCTATACCTCATACATTTGACCTGCATTGTAAAATATATATTTCAGATTTAATCTGTGGGCATCTCTTTGCACCCAAAAAATATTGTCAAGTTGAGGATGTAATTTCTTAGCATGATTGTTGCACATAGACAGTCCCTCACCCAGATTCTGAAGTGGACTTACATAGGGAACACATCTCTGTCAATACAGATCACTCAAATATTGGCTCAAGCTCTGTTTAAATAGTATAAAAATAGACTTGACCGGTCACCTCTATTAGTTGTGTGTCCCAACCT